GGCCCTCACCACAGTAGTGTCAGTGCAGACTCCTGGGAACTCCAGTCTGAATCGTCCAAACTCCTGTCGTGACCTTGGCACAGAGCCACAGGTTTGTGTTGGCTCCTCCAGCAGGACAGTGGAGGACGCTGATCCAGCTGGACCAGAACCAGGACCACGACCTGAACCAGGACCTGGACCAGAACCTGAACCACTGTCAACACTGAAACATTGGTTTACAGCCCTTTTACTGTAATGTTTTTGGATGGTTTCTGTGAGCGCGGTGGTAATCTGCTGTAAGCTGGAGGAGAGCAGAGGAAAAATAATCATCTCCACTGTCAACCATCCAACCCCCCCATCCATCCATCCATCCAACCATACATCCAACCAACCATACATCCAACCAACCATACCTCCAACCATCCAACCATTCATCCAACCAAACATCCAACCATCTATCCATCCAACCATACATCCAACTATACACCCAACCATCCAACCATTCATCCAACCATTCATCCATCCATTCATCCAACCATTCATCCAACCATCCAACCATTCATCCATCCATTCATCCATCCATCCATCCAACCATCCAACCATCCAACTATACATCCAACTATACACCCAACCATCCAACCATACATCCAACCAAACATCCAACCAAACATCCAACCATCTATCCATCCAACCATACATCCAACCAACCATACATCCAACCATCCAACCATACATCCAACTATACACCCAACCATCCATCCAACCATCCATCCAACCATACATCCAACCATAGATCTATCCATCCATTCATCCAACCAAACATCCAACCAAACATCCAACCAAACATCCAACATCCATCCAACCATCCATCCAACCATAGATCTATCCATCCATTCATCCAACCAAACATCCAACCATTTATCCATCCATCCAACCATCCATCCATTCATCCAACCATCTATTCATCCATCCAACCAAACACCCACCATCTATCCATCCAACCATCCATCCATTCATCCAACCATCTATTCATCCATCCAACCAAACACCCACCATCTATCCATCCAACCATCCATCCATTCATCCAACCATCCATCCATCTATTCATCCATCCAACCATACATCTATCTATCTATCATCCATTCATCCATCTATCCATTCATCCAACCATCCATCCATTACAACACAGTGTTGACCGTCAGTACTGAAGTTTGGCTTACGGCTCTTGCTAACGGCTAACCTTTAACCACAGAGTAGAAAGTCGAAGCATCGACAACAGAGTGGATCCAGAACAGAGGTCCGATCAAACGGTCCGGTCGGGCCGTGAACACGTCATGTCAACACATGGCTCTGCCCTGTGATTGGTCCTGGTGCCGCTGTAATGGTTCTGGAGGCCATGTGTATTTTTAACGACTCCAGCATCAGCGCCACCATCTGTTCACAGCCAGTCACAGACTGTTGGTGGGTAAAATGGACTGAAACAACAGAGAAACAGCGCCCCCTCCTGGCCCCCCCCTCGTCTGCTGGGTTTAACGAGCGTGTTGAGTCTAACGTCGTCGCAGCTTTGTCGTTTCATCCCCTGACGAGGAGACTAACGGAGGCCGGCGACACCGAAACGAATCGGCCGGGCTGTGATTGTTAGCGTCGTGGCAGGTTCACGGCCCTCTGGTGGTCGTCAGGGGGAATCACAGCGGCTCAGCCTGGAGGAGAGTCTGGAAAACCTTCAAGGTTCAGAATGGCTGTCTTTTAATTAAACGGTCCTCGGCAGACGCACGGAGAGTGTGGGAAGTGTGAGACACACACACACACACACACACACACACTCACAGCCTCCTCTTATATGTGTACATTAAAAATACATCCCTGTCCTACATTCACTCCTCTGTTCTGAGGACAACACTGAGAAACGCCCACGTCGTCTCTGAACCTCTTCTCTCCAGGGAGGGAGGGGG